GGCGCACGCCGCGACAAGGTCACGCACAATGGAGGCATTTGTGTTGAACAAATCGTCACGCGTCATGCCCGGCCTGCGCGGCACACCAGCAGGGATAACAACGAGTTCGACGCCGTCAAGGGCCTTGCTGAGGTCCTCCTTGGCGTAGCCCGTCACCTTGGCGGGAGAACAGATGTGGGAAAGGTCTGCAGCAACGCCAGGCGCACCGCGAACATCGTAGCAGCTGATTGCAGACACCAAAGGATTGTTCTTCATCAAGAGGGCAAGGGGCTGGCCAATGCCACCAGCGGCACCAAGGACGGCAACCTTGCTGAGGCAGGCGGCAGAAGTGCGCATCATCGCTCGTACTTTCTGTGTATTACTTGATCGTGTGTTGTTGTTGTGTTTTGGCTTGTTTTGTCGGGAACTGCAATTCCGGGCAGCCCAAAAACATGACGAGAGGAAAACGTGAAAGAAAAAGATCGTACGTTTCAAAAGGCAGCACACACGCGAGGAAAAAAAAAAAACGCAGCCAGCCCCCCCCCTCTTCCCCACACGCCGGCAAACGCCATGCAACCGCATCCGCCCCGTACGTGCGTACTTATACAGGCATACAGGACACATGTAACAAAAAAAAAACACAACGTGACACGTCATGTATACAAGCGTGTCACCACGCCTACAGGGCCGCCTCAGGCCTTCCAGCTGCAAAGCGCAACCCCGCCTCAACATCCCCCGCTATAAAAGGTACCGCTGTTTCCACCAGCTCCCTCTCGTACGCCGTGAGAAGACCCAGCGGCAGAAGTCGCGCCACACCTTCCTCGCCAAGTTCCACACGTGACGCAAAAAAAGGTGTCTCCTTCCGCATTGTCGACTCCACAAAGGAACACTCAACGATGCCGCGGTCCCCTCGCAGAGCCTTCAGCACCGACACAGACCACTCCAGAACGGCATGCGCCAACGATAACGCCACCTTTGGCTGTAGTTCCACGGAAGCCGCCTTTTCATCCTTCAACTCACAAGCAACACCACTCGCCCCGTAGGTGGAATGAGATCCACACGACTGGACCCGGTTACACACATGGATAATCCGCTCGTGAGGAATCTGCAGCGTAGTCTGCGACACAAGAGGACACGCAGTCACACCTCCTCTACCGCCCACCACCGGCACATTCAAGTCGAACGGATTCATTTGCAGTTCTTCGGCCACGAAAGTTCTTGTCCTAATGACGTCAAGGCTCGTGACACCCAACAGCTTACGCGGATCAAACACACCGTTGCGCACCAACACCTCCCTTGCAAGGGGCACAAGCGCATTAACGGGACTTGAAACAACACCAATAATGGCCTTTGGGGCTACCTTAGCCACCAGAGTCATTGCCGACATCAATTCTGGACCAGACTCTCTCAATGCCATGTCAAGCTGAGCCCTACATGGATCGAACGCACTCCCAGAGCAAAACAATACAAGTCGAGCCCCACGCAGGGCCAGCTCCCAATCGCACGGATCTTCAAACGCCCTCACACCGGTGTTAGTGTCAATGTGAGAAAGATCTGCAGCCACGCCACGCACCAACCCCACGTTTGCCCCCTGACCCACCTTAGTCAAAGGGCCACAACAGCACAACTCTGTTACATGCGGGCAGAGCTTCAAAAGCAGGGAGAGGGTCTGACCTACCACCGTCGTCGCACCAAAAACAACAACCTTCCCGGTTGCGTTTTGGGGGGGCACTCGGCGCAGGTTAAAAAATACCATTCACTCGCTTCAGAGGGCCACGCAGTGGGTGCGATTCCTAGTGATGCCGTTACTTCCACGCCCGGAAGAAGCATGCAAAACATGGAAGAAAAAAAAGAAAAGCAAAACAAAAAGGTACTGAATACTGAAAACGGCGACAAAAAAAACCCGCACCGGCGATCGACAAAATACACATCCAATGGAAAGAACAAAATAGAAGTGCCCACAGCAAGGCACACCCCATGCAGTCCTCATTCGAAGCACCCAAACGCCCCACCTCGATCATCCTTGCCAGGAGAAAAATCTCGACCACCACCGACGCTGCCTCGAGGCAAACAGAGGACTCAACACGTGACATATGGCACTATGCACAGTATCCACCGTTGCGCAACCGTCCACAGTATGCCATAGCCGCTCATCACTATAGACAAGCTTAAGGGCGTTCAAGTCACTGTGAAACTTTGCGAGTCGCTGTCGCACAGCGTCCTCGGTGTCCTCCGCACGCTGCACCAGCGGTTGTCCAGTGACATCATCACGCCCTTTTACATTTGGGGGGCTGTACAGTGTGTGGTACATACGACCAGAGGCAGGGTGCACCCAGCGCCCTGAAAAACGCTCTATTAATAGGCGATCAGCAAAACTAAGCAGCACAATGGCGTCCGGCTTGATTCCCTCGCCACTTAACAGCCGCGCCTGCTCAGCTGTCTTGGGAAAGTCATCAAGAATAAACCCATTGCTACAGTCCGGTCCACGCGTTGCTTCCGCAACGGCATGTGCAAGCATCCAGTCAGGAATGGGTCTCCCCTCTTCAAGGAGAAGACGCAGCTTTTCACCGAACGCGGACCCGCCGTACTCCACCGCGTTCGACAGCGCGTCGCTGGGAGTGACATGGCACACACCATAGTGTTCCTTCAGCACTGTACTGGTGGACGTTTTGCCACTGCCAGGGGGGCCCAGGATAAACAGACGCATTTCGCTGGTAAGGCAGTCGATAAGAAGGAAAGCCAAAACAAAAAAAAATCTTACTCCTTTCCTTCTACCTTTCTTTACAGACGCCTCCACTCACCCAGTCGTTGTGTGCTGCCAGTGGGAAGAGACAGACCAAAAACAAGGTAGCAGCTGACCCCATCCACCCTAAGCAGCCTCAGTACTACCGGTCAAAAAGAAACGACAAAAAAAAACAGAGAAGGAAGAACGAGACACACTATCAGGAAAAAACGTTTTGGTAGGAACGCGACGCACGGCGTTTTGTTTGGTTTCCTTTAGTTCCCCTTCATCTGCTGCTCCACAGGTCATTGCCCGCCCGCTGCTTTGGTGGTGGCCCATCACGGCCATTGCCCGCCCGCTGCTTTGGTGGTGGCCCATCACGGCCATTGCCCGCGCCCCCAAACACTCGAGGGCCCACGTGTCTTAGTTACATCGAATGACAGTGTGTGGCATTCCAGTTACATTCCCCGTTTTGTTCTGCCCTCTTTTAGACACTCCCTCGTTGCCTTTTGGCAACCGTAAACCTTCTCGTTCCCTCATTAGCTTTTAGTTCCCTCCCTCTCAACAATTAGACCCGAATTTCTCCTTACTTTTTTATTGTTGTTGTTGTTGGTGTTTTTTTTTGACCCCTCTACGTATTGTTCCAGGCCGAATAGTCCAAGCACCTGGTTTCATCTCCGTGGTGCTCCTCTTCCTTCCGCATTATCACTTAATTTGATAC